ATTAATAGTTTTTACTACTGTTCAATCATGTAACAGCGGTGGCTGCTGGTGATAATTTTATTTTGTTCGGGCGGCGCTGATTCGAGAATAAAAAAAATAAATAGGTACTTACCACAAGCCTATTTCTTAAAATGAAACTTAATCCTTCTGTTTTATTGGAGATAATTTTCATTACCTTTTCTTTGAAGTGACAATTTTCCTCAACCTTAACTTTTTCTACAAAAAACGTAATATAGTACGTATCTACGTGTAATATTCAAACAATCGAATGGTAAGCTTTTTGAAGGCCCATATGGGCCCAAAATATTTTAGTTACCGCTTGTCGTTTACATAGTAACCATATGCCTCTACCAGGCATAAAGATATCAGCCCCGTATACAGTGCCGACGCTTAAAAAAATTTATTTTGATTAGGTAAATATACACTGCGCGTCACGAAAAAGAGGCCACCTAAAATTGTTGACATTTTTTAATTTTTACGAATCATACCACAAAGTGATTGTCATTAGATGTTTGTGTAATGTTTAAGAATATGTTCTAAAGCAGTATGCAATCATTTTTTAAATAACAAATGTCAAAAAATAACTTCTTCCAAAATATTGATTTTATTGGAAAATAAAAAAAACATTAACATTGTACATTTTTCTGCTTTCTTTATAAAATTACAATTTAGTCGTGATTATCAATACTGTGTATTACCACCTCTATTTTGAATTACACTCCTTATTCGATTTGGCATTGAATTGATCAAATTCTAGATGTCGTTTTGAGGAAAAGCTTCCCATTCTTCCATGAGCGCCAACCAAAGCCACGATTTATTGGAGCAGGTATTCTGTTTCTTACCCTTCATTTGAGTTGGTCCCAAACATGTTCAATCGGATTCAAATCTGGACTTTAAGCGGCCAGTTCATTTTGGCACACCGACAGATATTGCGTTACCATCCTGGCTACGTGTGGCCGCGCGTTGTCTTGCATAAACATAAAGTTTTCGCCGACAAACCCAGCAAAACGTATTACATGCTCGTCTAGAATTGCGGTAATGTATCGGTGTGCATTCAACGCTCCTATATCAATAAATACGAGATCAGTACGGTCCTCGAATGAAATGCCTGCCCAAAACATTACCGAACCTCCTCCAAAAGCAACACGTACTCGTCGAACACAAACAGCATATCGTTCCCCACGTCTTCTGTATGTTTTGATGCAACCATCTGAGCCATAAAGAACCATCCTGGACTCATCACTAAACAAAACATTTTTCCAATCTTCTATCGTCCAATGCTCGTGGTCTCTAGCAAACTGTAGTCGGCGTTGTCGATGTGCTGTAGTCCTAGCAATCTGTAGTAGGCGTTGTCGATGTGCTGCTGTTAACAAAGGTCAACACTGTCAACAACTGTTAACAAAGGCTGTTGCTGGACAGCGAACCCTTAGACCAAATTTCCTCAACATCCTTCTCACGGTAGAAGTGCTTAAAGTCCACCTGTAAGCATTTGAAAACGGTTTTGGATTGATCTAGCCGTAAAGAACCGATTTTGCAAAGAAGTGCGTTGTAAAGAACGGTCTTCTCTGGCCGTCGTGATTCTTCTCGGGCCTGATTCTGGTCGTCGTTCGTGAGATCCAATCTCTACGAATCGTTGGTAAAATTTTTGGACTGTACAACAACTGACTCCAAGCTGCCTGGCCATTTCTCTTTGACTCGTTCCAAAACAGAATAGCCATATTCCAAGAAAAATAAGGTACAAACAACACGTGCATTATCCGAAGTCGTAAAACTGATATCAATTCTGCAAACATTATTACCTTAATTCACCTGTCGGTACCTAAAAAAAGCTAAGGCCGGCGCAAATTGAGCACAGCCCACGACACATCCCACGCCGCAGCCCACGTATGGTCCAACCTAGTCCACGTACACGTTTTTCAAATACTAATGCCATAATGAACACAGCCCACGCCCATGTCAAATATTTGTGTAGAATATGTTCTATCCATAAAATTAGGAAAAACACAATTTACAGAGTATGCTGATTGTGACGAATAAAGCTGGACTATGCTATAGGAGATTGTTTTCGCAAATACCATTCAACGAATAGATAGACTGTCTTCAGTATATTCAGTTTAAATAAAGATTTTTATTTTCTAAAGCCCTTTTGATTTTTACCTAATATCCAACTAACAATTTCTAATGTTGAAATATAAATATCTTGAAAAAACTTTCACAAATGCTAAGGGTAAAAAAAATGAAATCCTTCGACAATAAGACTATAACAGGTAGATACCCATAATTTGAATAAGCTGGTTTTGCCGATATTGACGATCTAATTACTAATTAGCATACCAGGCAGATTTTACAGAGTATTGTTGAAATAAATGAAATAACGTAATAAACAACAGAAGAGCTAAAAAATATACAAAAATTTCAGATCGTATTTTGTTTTCGAGATAAATTTAAATTTGAGAATTTTTTATTATTTTTCTACTTTCTTCATGTTGTTTTTTAATTTCATTTTTAATTTCAGTGTATAAAAGCCATTACAATATGAGCATCACGAAAAAGTACTATCAAATTTTATTTTGAAGTTTTCATCTTAGGTGTTCATAAACATTTTGCTAGGAAATGAAAATTGTTGTTTTTTTCCTTAGTTCTCGATTTGTTATATTTCTCATTTGATTTAATAAAAAATTAATTTAAATTATTATTTTTTGAATAATTATAACGGCGACTTACATCCGAGTCGCTTAGCACAAATAAAGAAAACATTAGTTTTGTTCTCATGTAATCTTCATTACTAGTATCATACAAGACACTAAAGCTTCGAACAATTTCAATAAACTTTTCCTTTTTCACTGAATAGCAAAAAATTGGTCACACAAAACAAAATAACTAAGTTAAGTAGAGACCCACGACCCACGAAACTGTGTTGCTAGCACAACTCTATCCACGCCAACCAAGTCTGGCAGTAGCCTGGCCGTGGTTGGGTTTAATAGGCGTCGCTCCGTCTAAAACCACGTTTTACAAAATGGGCTGCGCGTGGGCTGTGCTCAATTTGCGCCGGGCCTAAAAGTGTTTCTGCATTGTGGAAATTTAGTTACAATCGATAAATTGTAAAGTTATTGAAAAATTCTTACAAAATTCTGGGTGGCCTCTTTTTCGTGACGCATAGTGTAATATAGTGAAATAAAATTTCGACATAAAAAAAACAACAATAATTGTTTGTACATCATTTTTCTACGGAGTGCAGCGCAAATTCTCAATACAGAATTACGGAAGTTTTTGTCACTAACCAAATATAGTGAAATTGTTTCAAAATTGAATATATATTTCTAAAGCATATACAGTACGTTAAGTTTTGGATTAGATATTGCAAATACATAAAACGCTAAAATCGGAAATAGTTGCCGATTGTCTCGTACGAGGTAATTGTAATTCTCCGATCCCCTCCGCTCCGACACCTAGACTCCTAGATAGAAAACGAAAAACCCATTTAGTAACACATAACAACCCAAGGGATATACAACTCCTTCCGTCGATTTTTGTTTTGCTTACGTACACCCGGTTCATTTCTTATTATAACATTAACTCTATAAAAATACTCTGACCATTATAAGGCGGTGCATTTGTATCGGATTTTAATAATGTGAACAATTTGTTGTGGTTAATTTAAAAATAAAAGCGTATTTCTTTAAAAAGATATACTCTTATTAAAAATAAAAAATAATTCCTAATAAAATAAGAAATAATTCTTTACGCCCTACAGAAATGATTCAAATATTTGACCTTCTACGGCTGAACAGTATCCCAGTCATAAAAAACTTCTGCGGGCAGATGTAAAAGTTTCTGTTTCTGAATTGGAGACTTCCCTTATTCGGTTTCTTAATTCATCCAAATGTTGGGTTCTAGCCTTAGGATGATCATAGAATATTCTTTTTAAATGTCCCCAAAAAGAGAAGTCCATGGGTGTAAGATCTGAAGATCACACAGGTCACTTAATATCGCCTGTTCCACTGATAACTCGATTCGGGAGAGTACTCTTTAAGTACTCCCTAATTATTCGAGCGTTGTGAACTGAACAGCCGCCTTGGTGTAACCAAACATTCTCCAGATTTACATCAGGAAGATTGAGAATAGCGGGAAGAACATGATTCTGTAAAAAATCGAGGTATACTCTACTATTCAAGTTGCCCTTAATAAAAAATGGACCTATTATGTGGTCTCCTAAAATGCCAGTCCAGGCGTTAACTTTTTGAGGACATTGAGTTCGGTAAACAACACTTCTGTGCTGGTTTTCCCGCGCCCAATACCTCGTAATGGATGGATTGTATCTCCCTACTAAGGAAACAGAAGATTCATCTGTAAATAAAATGTTTTTAATAAAATTGCTTCTGCGTTTTCGAATATTTAAAATTCTTGTAACCGTGTTTTT